ACTTGCTAGTCGGGCTTGCTGCTCACTAGCAGACCTGCACTCACACACTTGTCCCTCCTACATTCCACGTTCACAAGTCCCCTTGGCTGTAGCAGCAGGGACACCCCTGCCTGCCTGACACCCTGGCTTGTACCCAAGCGCCCCCCCTACTAACCAGCTAGTCCAGTTTGGAATTTGCTAATGAGTATGGACACGCACCCCACGTCTACCTGGATCATGGAGGATACCTCAGTGGCTGTCGCCAGGTGCACAGGCTGTGGCCCACAGTCCTGCTCCAGCCTATGGCATGGAACCTTTGCTCCTGCCAGCCATCCTCCAGCAGCCAATTTTTCTTTCCTGCTCCGGGGGCTGGAATTTAGACATCCTGCACTTGCTCCAGTGGCTGACATCAGGCATCCATAACCCTGATTTGACTCCAGGATCCAGCACCCATTTTCACACAAGTCTCACCAGTAACTGCCACTTGGTCCTTGCAGCACCCACTCACACACAGGGGATAGAGAGTGAGATTATGCAGAGAGATAGTTAAGAAAAGATTTATTAAGACATAAAGAGGTAGGACAGACTGTGATGATCAGGCACAGGGCTCAACCAGGGAAGTGTAGTGACTGGCCCTTTTTAACACATCATCAGCCACTTGTATGCTCCTTTCTGTCTGTTCCCATCTTTGTTGCTCCCTTCTCCCTTTCCCCTGCACATTTCTTATGGGTCTGTACAACTTCTGTCCTCCTCAGAGTCTCTGGTCCCCCTGGTTTACAGTCTTACCAGTTGCAAAGCCTGGACAGATCTTCCTGGAAATTGTTTCTTGATAGCCCATCAATTAGTGTGAGTGGTGAGGTTTGTTTCTTGTCATGGTCTCTAAGTTGGTTTTGTCAGATCTGTGTCTCTGTATATTTTGTTTCTAGTTTCCCCTTTTTCCTTAGTTTCCCAGCTGATGAGGTCCCTGATCAGATAACCTTGCTGGAATAAACATTCTCACACTCCCACATGCCCACATCAATTAGTGTGGCTGACCAGGTTTGGCTCTTGTCACTGCCTCCCTTATAATTTCCTGGTCAGGTTTGTGTCACCATATGTTCTCGTTTTATCACTTTCTCTCTTTCTTGTTATCCCTTGTTGCATTGAAAAAAGGTCCTCGACCAGATGCCCTTAAAGGAACAGACACTCTCCCACACACCCTTGCAACTTGTGTAAGTGTTAAGGAAAACCCGTGCGAGCTCAAGCTAGTTAGGATTCTACAGTTGTGCTATGATTGACAATAAAAAATATTTTTCCCAAAGCCAAAACAGAGTTATATGGATTTTTTCTATTTCCCCTAAATTAAGAGTAGGCAAACATCATTGTCTTAGTAAAGTCCAGTTCACTGTCCAACAATTGCCTTTAAATGAAAAGTGTCAGTATTATGCTCAATATTTTCTTACCATTCTCTTGCATTGTTTCATTTGCCTGTACCTGTCTGCTGTCTTTTGCCTCTTCCCTGAGTTGCAGGCTCTCTGGAGTACAGCTCATCTTGTGCTCTTCTACAATGAAACCAGCTCTGTGCCGGGTGCAATAGACAAAGTGTACAATTTTTAAAGGGCTTAAATAGCAGCCTAAACATATCAGGATGGTTCTTTTATTATTTGAAGACACCAAGCTTGCTCCTTAAATATATAAGCTTTATACATTTTTTTTAAGCAGGAACGCCTGTGGATGGGCCATCTGAATTAATGGTGACTCCAGAAGTGCCGTGCCTATCTAGGTATCTTGAAGAACTTTCATTAAAGGAATTCAGTGCAACCTGTGAAGAGGTACTTAACACTGATAACATGTAAGTTATCATAAGACACTTAAATTCATTATAGCTTAGCATTTATTAAGGTCTAATGTTATTGCTAACAATATTGGTTTACAACAGTTCTCATCAGACATCGATGAGCATATACGGGGCAACAGATAAAAAATTTTATTGAAATCAAAGACTACACTAAAGATTTAGAATAAGAACATATGTTCAGCATGTCAATACGTATGTTACACCTCAGAACTAGGTTGGAAAAATACCTTTTCTTATTTTTTGTAGTAAATGGCTGCCTTCAATTGGAAAATGCTGCAGAGCCTGGTAAAAGAATGTTTGGTGTGCTGAACTGCAAGAAATAGTTTAGTATTGCTGGAGAAGAGCCCTTGTGAATATTTTTATTGATCTTTAGTAAAGTGTATGCAGTAGGAGATGAAAGGCTCTTTCTTTGTGTGCTAATGGCTCCCATAAAGTTAGATGACAGAGATGCAGACTTCTACTATTTCCACATTATGACAACAATAATACTTGATATCATTTTCCCAACAATTTCTATGCTGTCGTAAAATACTTCTTTTTCCTCCTTTTCTGCTTTCTAACTGACTAAGGGCATTTGTGCATTTGATCAGACATCAGCATTCAACTTTTCAGGCTCTCAGTTCGTACAGGAGCTTGCTAAGTAAGGAAATTTTACTCTCTGCACAGGATTTGGAGGCAGCATACTACCCACAGGGAGTGAGACTGTTCATCCTCTCACTGCAAAATCCAGAGGCCTCTTCTCCTTCCTTGGAGATACCTTCCTAATTATGCAGCTGAAGCTTGGTGGCATTACAAAACTAGGAAAGGACTAATTTCTGATCATATCTGCGAGACGTGATAGTGTTCTGCTTGTTTTGCTTGTGGAAGCAACATATGGTTCTATCATAGTGGCAGAATAAGATACACTCAAGAAAGGAAATGCAGTGAAATTCAGATATAAGGTAGAAGTCACTTGGTTTATATTTTTTTGAAATGTAGTTAAAATCCATCCCTGCTAAGTTTCTACTGGCTCTGCAATTTTATTCTATTTTTTATTGCTTATTTTATTCTGGTTTTTGGGGTGTTGAGTTTTTGGGGGTTTTTTTCACTGCTTGAGTTTCATCTTGCCCCAGTTCTGCTCTGTCCAGCTTTAGCAGTCGATTAACCTGTTAACTATTTCTCAGCAGACTGATCAAATGGGTTTTGCGTGAGGAGGAAATCAGGGGCAGTCAGTGCAGAGTTTGATGAGGCAAGAGTAGAATATGATGAATGCTGGTGGGTTGGGTGCTTTGTCTCCTTATACATTTTATTTCTTAAGATCTCTTCTTTGTCATCTCCTCTGTGGCCGTGTGACAGCACATTTCTCCTTTTGCCTTCGCTCCCACCCTGAGCGTTTCCTGTTACTCAGTGACAGCCCGGCTCCTTTTTTTTATGGTTCCCAGTTTGGTGTCCCTTCAGCATGAAGAAAGAAGAACCCGAAAAACTGCTTGCCTCAAAGGGATAGCACCTACAAAGATGTGAAAAATAGAAAAAAAAATACTGTTTTGTTTTGGGATTTTTTGTGCATTATGTGCACAAATAAATTTTAGGTAGGTAAAGTTGAGCAGTAGAAGTATATATAAAAGTATAGATGAGTTGGGTTTGTTTGAGATCAAGTAGTGCATTTCGTTTGATTCCAACTGCTTATAATATTTTTCTCTTTTAGCCTCAGACTTTGAGGAGAAGATCATATTGTACTATTTGTAGTTCCTTTATTTTTAGATTTTGTTCTACCCATTTCTGTATGTCCCTAAGAAAATATCTTGCTTCTATCTTCTGTATTTATTTTTTAAAAATCTTATTTCAGGAAAAAGTCTGAAGTTTCTGGAATGGTGGCTAAAGCTGACATCAACCCAAAATCTGTATATCGTGCCCAAAAATGGTCAGGCGATGTGGAGAACTTGTACAGATTTCAGCAAGCTGGATACAGAGATGAGGTTGAATATAAACAAGTGAAACAGGTTGATACGGTAAGATTTAGAACTCTGCGAAGGTTATTGCTTTAAACTTCTGTCTCATGTTAAACAATTAAGTGAAAATGGAGGTGCCACTCATTTCCTTTCATTTAAACTAGTTTTTTCGTTAGTGGTTTTTCCTCCGTGTCTGACATGAATTCTTGAGCTATAATTAACTGTGCAGAATAACTTATTTCACAATAGTAAAACAGAAACAGTGCCCAGCTTGTGGTTTTATTCCCCCTCTCTTAGGCGTTTAGAAGCACTATAGAATTCTTTTAATAGATGTAGCTGCTACCTGAAAGAATAATTCAGTTTTGAGAAAAGGAATGTATCAAAGAGTTATCTGTGAAGTTTCCCCTTTACTCTGCCAACAGACCTGATAAGAAACTCGTTTGTTATCCAGAGAGTCAGTCCTTGTGTCATTGCTACTGACGTCAGTTTTACAGCTGAATTGTGTGGCAGCATTATCAGAACTCATGCACACTCAAAATTTGGCTTCTATTCTGTCCACAACAGGAATTTTTGATTTCGGCTGTAGTTGTGGCACAAGCTTTTACCAGCTGAGAACATCAAGGACGTGGTCCTCTGGTCACTACAGTGAACTAATAGATAATGGCCAGATGATCAGAACAGCCACCAGGAGGTTAATACAGCAGACAACATACTATCTTCTGTACTTTGTCTTCCTAAGCAGCATACACAGCATGAGAAAATCCACTTGTAAAAGATCATAACCTTCTGTGCACATAAGAAAGGGCAGAATGTTCGTACAAAAGTTACCCTTCAGTTAAATCAAAACATACCAAAAAGTTGACTTGCATAGTGACAGGCAGTTTATTATGTTATTGTGGGCTTGGATACCACTGTAAAGGCTGTGGTATAAATTCCTTTAACTGCAGAAGGAAATTATGCAAGTAGTGTGGTAGGATCAGTCTAAGATTTATGACAGGGCACAGCCATAGACAATTACACCCTGATAAAATTAAAGAGCACCACTTACTCAGTGTAAAATGAGCCTGCATTCTGATCCTTCTGTCTTTGAGACTATGATACATGTAGCTCACTTTATTTTTGTGAAACTAGTAATGAAAAGCACATTTTTCATGGTCAGAAGGATCCTGAAGAAGCCTTTAAGTTTGTGTCAGTCTTATGGAAGTGGAATCTTTTGGCTTCTCAGGTTACTGAGTGACTGAAGAGCATCAATGTTTTATTCCTAAATGAGGTATTTTAAAAGCTTTGACTAGTCCACTTTTTAAATTAGTCTATCAAATATTCTTATATCTTTATTTCTAGGCTTTTCTGTTCACATAGTTTTTATACTAGACCACAAAACTGGTTTCTGACATCTTGTTCTTAATCTTTTTTTAAAAGTTAAGCAAATTAATAGCAAAGTAGTGTTTAGGTGCTAATGAGATTTCCCCATGGAAGTCTACCTTATATTCTTTGCAATATAACACACAAACATCATTTAATGTGAGCATTTTCAGGTGAACATATATTCTTTTTATTCTATTTGTAGGTAGAGTGTTGGCCAGAAACTGGATTTGTTAAGAAACTTCAGAGAAGGGACAATACATTCTATTACTACAACAAGAAAAGGGAATGCGAAGACAAGGATGTCCACAAAGTGAAAGTTTATGTGTATTAGTTCTGTGTTCTGATTTGTTTGGGGTTTTTTAATAAACTTGTTTGCTAGAATCTGTAAGTAAATGAGATTGTGTGATCTGATGTAGCTTAAATATAAAAGTCATTTGTTGATAGAAGGGGGAATACTGGAATGTAGAGAAGCCTGAAATTATAGACATAGGGATTTCTCTTTTTTTTATTCTAATGAAAAGCCTTATTATCCTTCATTTTCCTCGTTACAGATGTTTTGACATAGAAATAAAAATCTGGTAAAGGGGCATCATATATTTGGGTTAACTGTGTTTAAAAGTCAATTTTATCTTGATTCAAAACAATATAATCTTTTGGCCACTTTCTAATGTCAGCCACAGTCTCTAAGAATTATGAGACTACCGAGGGCCAAAGTAAGATGAAAAATGCTAACAGAAGTTCCCAGCAAAAATAGTAAGGCAATTATTCAGTGAAGGACACCGAACAATCAAGTAGCAAGGACTAGTTCTGAGCTGCAGATTTAAAAGCTGATTATTGTGATAGAAACAGTGACAGCAAAAATGTCTTTCTGAGCAATAGGTAAGGTATCCCCAAGTATTTTTGTCAGGTGCAAGTATTAATTGCTTGAGGAAGAAGTATTAATTAACTCGTTGGCATGTGCCTTTTTAAGGAGGGGAAAAAAAGATTGTGGATTTACATCTGGTAGGATCAGGGAGTATCAAGCTTCGGAGAGAACACAGAATCCATACTGTGTAATATTTAAGGCTGGGTAACTGAGATGATACATGGGATTTCTGGGCAAGATTCATCACATCTAACTTTGGATGTCACATTGTCAACATCTGCACTTGATCTCGTTGTCTGGACGTCCTTTGTTCTGAATGGAGAGAACTTGGCTCTTCTGAGCACAATTCATTTCTTCAAAATGTGGGTACCTAACCTTTGCTTTGAACATGCTGCTGTGGCATCAGCTCTGCAGAAGCTGTCCATACGTGTGCTGCTGTGAGATACCATACTTACCTTCACTCAGCAGAGAATTTAAGTAAAGCACTTTTAGGATGCCAAACCCTTAGCTAATCGACCAGTACAGCAGATCCTTGTTACGCAAACCAGTAGGTGTGTTCATGGTAATTACAGAAAAGCCGTTACTAATATCTCCTGCCTCCAAACGCTAAACCTAGTGGTATCTAAACGAAGTTTTAGGCGCAGGGTACATTGGACCATCTGTCTTGCAGATATTCTACCTTTCTTTTAAGCCTAAGATAGTGGCCAACTGAAGGTGTGAAACACGACTTACAGCTCCAAGTCAAGACGAGTAGTATGGGTGCAACGTCCTAAAGATCTCGTCGACAATAGGTGATGGTGATCTAGGCACCATCTGATCGTCTAGTCACAAATACTTGAAAAGATCATTAAAAGGCAGACAATTTTAAACATTATTTAGTGCTAGATTTGTTTGGTTGTCCTAACTCAGCATTATCAGAAAAGTTTGATAGTACTTGACAACAGAACAATACTTCATGTCACGAGCTCATGGAGCCTTGATTACAAATCACCATAGTGTAGGTTTCAAGAAATGAACCTGAGATGCTGACATGCTTGAGATGCTTGGAAAATTTGCATAGGCTGCTTAAATTTGTAGAGGCTCTGTTAGAGAAAAGGCTGAAAAGTACTCAGAAGCAACTGTGAAGGTTTTAGTGGCATATAAATAACGCATTGCTACAGTACATTTCACTTCAGGTTTTCATTATGGTTTCTTTTTTATTTGGATTGCTCTGGATGTACTTTTTAAGGTAGAACTTTTTGCATACTTTGCAGTCAAATAGTAGGAACAAAACAATTATCTATCTCTTTTGTCATGTTAAGAAAGTAGATATTTGTTAACTTCTTAGGTTCCTAAAAAAGAAATCTTCCAGTGGACTTAGAAAGGGCCTTAAAAAAAAGAGCCACAAAAACAGAAGTGTTGTATAGCCAACTCAAATTTATTGACAGAAATTACTGCTATCAGCACACACAGAATAAGTGACAATGTCACATACAGCCATTTTCTCAGTCTAAAGAAAAAGGCATAGCTGAGTATTCAAGATTAGGAATTAAAACTGCACATTCTTTTTAACTTAACCTTTTTAAAAGAAAGACTTTTAAAAATTGAAACAAATGTAAAAGATTTTTCTGGGCTTCCCTCATTTTGCCTGACTTCATCTTCATGGTTTTGCAATACTGCAGGATCTTTTTTCTCTTGTGTTATGTTTTAAAATGACGAGTGTGCATTTCACGCAGCATTTCAGACAAGAATTCATGTTCCACTTCTGGTTTTGTATGAGTTGGCAGATTCTTCTCACTCTGAGAGAGTGAATTACCTGGTTTTTATTACTTAGGTTTTTCAGTGTTTTTTTTCAGTTTTTATCAGTGTGCTACAAGGTTGAATCTCACTGTAATATTTAAAAGATTAACGAGATGGAAAGGAAAGATCAGCACTGTAATTAGTGCTGGAGACCCATTTACAGACGTCGCCTTTGTCAGGACTAATGCAGGTTTTGTATTGGCAGTGACAGCTTCAGGTATTGCCCTTTGACATCCGGCTCATATCCATATTTCACTCCTGCTCATGCTAAATTTAAGGTTACTTAAAACCACTCACTTTTTTTTTTTAAGGACAAAAGCTGTATAACGGTCTTAGCTATGAAGCCAAAGGGATTCCTCTCTTTAAAAAGAAACAGGCATGGGGGTTCTTGCCTGAGTTCAAGTTTGTGATCACAAGATAATATTAATCTAGTATAAGGATGTTTGCTTGAATTAATTATTGGAATCACAGAATGGTTTGGGTTGGAAGGAACCTTAAAGATCACCTAGCCCAACCCTGACAGGTTGGGACACCTGGGACACCTCCCACCTTTGACCAGCTTGCTCAAAGCCCCGTCCAACCTGGCCTTGAACGCTCCAAGGAGGGGGCACCCACAGCCTCTCTGGGCAACCTATTCCGGTCTCTCACCACCCTCACAATGAAGAATTTCTTCCTCATATTTAATCTAAATCTGCTCTCTCTGTCTCAGCAGAGCAGAGTAGAGAAGTAGAGTCACCTCCCTTGACCTGCTGGCCACACTCCTTTTGATACAGCCCAGGATACGGTTGGCTTTCTGGGCTGGAAGTGTGTAATTGCCAGATTACGTCCAATAATTCATCCACCAGTGTTGCCTTAAGGATAGCAAAACATTCTTTACAGCCTTAAGAGCGGTAAATCAGTCCTTCAAAGAATGCTGCTTTGAGGACGGGTGAATCCCTGCTGAAAGGTGACAAATCTTTGAGAAAAGATAGTAAGATAGTGTGTACCTAGAGATAATAAGCAGACTGGGTTTTAGAAAGAATAAATAGGCTGTTCATCCTCGAGAATTTTTTGAACAAGACCAAAGCAAGAGTCCCCTAGACTAAAGTTATCGCTTTGGAAATTAAGGGATGTGTAAATATCATGAGCTGTTTGTAAAAGACTGAAAATTGGCCAAAGATAAAGGCAGCAGTGGGAGATGGTGACCACTGATTCAATTCAGGCCAAAGGAAACTTGCCCCCCAACACCTGCAAGGATCGTGGCTGCTAACTGACATGAGAAGTAAGGCTAATTTAAATATACTTAACCAATAATAGAGAGAACAGTTATCACTAACCAGTTACTGTAAAATTAGGTGTGTTTATACTAATTAACTTACAATACAAACATGTTGTAGCTTTTGATGTGGTATGCTAGCTTCATCTAGCATCCAAACTCCCGCAGCTTTGTGAATAAACCAATGTCAGCTTTCTAAACTACCATCTGGTTTAGAGAGTTTTCTTGGTTACGATTTTTGGTAACACCAGCACCCCCAAGTCCTCCTTGGGAGGGCTGCGCTCAATCCCTTCATCTCCCAGCCTGCGCTGATGCTGGAGATTGCCCTGACCTGGGAGCAGGTCCTTGTGCTTGGCCTCGTTGAACTTCCTGGGGCTCAGGAAGTAAAAGTATTTTAGTCAAAAAAAGCTGTGAAATGGAGTAAATGTGCCAGCATTTTCTCTTGTTTGTTAAATCTGTAGCTGGCTTGTCTGTCACCTCAGTTATAAGCATGCTGAGACCCGCACCCTATCCTAAAATCATAATGTCATGGAATAGTTTGAGTTGGAAAGGACCTTAAAGATCGTGTAGTTCCAATCACCTGCCCTGGGCAGGGACACCTCCCACTAGACCAGGTTGCTCAAAGCTGGCCTGTATCAAAACAGCGTGCCCAGCTGTTAGCTTGCTTGTGCCTTAATTTTTCGTTGTTAAGTTATGAAGAAGTATCGGAAGTGAGCAATCTGAGGAAGCCATGCTTCATTTTAGAGGTGACGCAACAGTTCGTATCAAGATAAATAACTTTTTTCTGAGCGCCGTTACAAAACCTGTTTTTGCTGAGCCTTAGTGAATTTAAAGGGAGAGCGATAAAACCACATCTCTCTTTTAAACCACAGCATCTTTTACTGCCTGGAGTGGAAAACACGTGCTGTTTTGCTAATTTGAGCCTCAATAAAAAGTAATTTTGTGAAAATTCTTTTCAAGGTACTTTTCTTATCTGTTGGTGTTCCTCTTATCGGGGAATGCTTTCAACGACCATTTGCAGCAGGTCAATAAACGGATGGTGGCAAGGCTCCCTGCTAGCAAGTGCTTACCAGCTGCCAAAGTCTGATGTACTTAGTCTAATTCTAATGCACTCCATGGCTTTGTACAAGACAAGAACAAATGTTTTCTGTGCCTGTTGAAGCTCATAAAAGGAGGTAAACCAAACTTTTCCAAGACCTACTTTTCAGGCTTTGTGTTTGGCAGCTGCCAGTGAAATGGCGAGGGTGAGACCTCTCTGAATTCTTCCAGTTACACAACAGAAATAAAGGCTGCGTTTGGGTGTTCTAGACTGGTTTTCCAGGTTTACAGCCTTTGCTTGAATCCATTATGGAACAGTGTTGCCTGAAAGTGAGACTATGGTTATTTGGTTGGTTTGCAGTTGCAGCAGCTCAGACCACTGCACAGAAAGATG